TATATGCCTACCGCGGACATACTAGCATTGCATGTGAGCGTGGTTTATGGTTTTGTCTAATGAACCGCACACCGTAACTGCTGGTGGAAAAATTGAGTATCCGAAAAGGATTTCCTAACCCTCAAATATTTGTATCGTCGCTCACGCTTTATGTTGAGTAGCTAGAAATAGTTGTAATTATTATTTAGTTCGAAGGCTGGGGGCGAGTAGGCTGGTAGTGACTAGAGATAGAGTTGAGAAGGGGAGCTCTTCAAGAGTAGTCAACCCAAGAGGAGGAGGACACCTGTTGCGCCGACTTGACTTCAGATTTTCCCTCAAGGCAAGGCTATGCATCACCAATTTTGGTCTCCACCTTTACGAGTATGAGATCTGACATTTCTCCATGGAGAATGCTAATCAACTTTGTTTTCTGGATCCTCAACTGTTTTTTCCTTGATAATTCTTTCCATTTTGATTGCGTTCCATGATCTCTTCTTCTACGAAAGTTACAGTCATTCTGTTGCTCCACCACCTGATTATCGTGGTTGAAAAACTTGCCTAGGATAGATTCAAAGAATGAAAGCAAATGACTCTAGTTCAAGACCGTCAGTAAATAATTCATCCGTGAATATAAAGCTTTATTTGGTAATTCATTATTTATTATTTATTTACCTAGTCGCTAACTATAGTGTTCATTTGAAGAGAATCACTGGAATTATTCCGGAGCCAGATTGTGCAAAAATCCGCACTCTTTCCGTTTATAGTTCTATTGTTCTGATTCAATGTTCACATCAACGTTAAATACTTCTTTCCGCCCAAACTAATTGGTCTTCCAGAATGAATTAATTTTGGGGAAAAAAGAGGACTTGGCCGCGCACATTCGTGCAATCAAACGGGCCTGGGAAGAAATGGAACCGGGGCGAGCGGAACGAGCCAGCTTGAGTCGTATTCGGTATTTGGAACAGCAGGCCGAGAAACTGGAATCCAAACCGGAATTAGATAAAACCGACAAGGAAACTGGAACTTCCACAGTTGAGCGAAGTCGGCCAAGCACTCAGGGCTCTCTAACACAGGGTAAATAACTTGAAACACTTACTTGACTGCTCACAGTATGTTTGATGAGAGAACGGATGAAGTTTTGGACTAGGTTAAATTCTGTGTTCGCACCACAATGCAGGTAGAAGGATATTCAGAACGATCTTCCTAAGACTTCTGTAAAACGCTTAGAGTATGACAGGGAGCAAACAGCCCTGTGCGGTTATAAATGGACTTCACAGACTGGCTTGAACCACAAAATGCCACCCTGCTTATTGTTGTAAACTGAGTAGCACCATTTTCAGAAAAAATGAGGTTACGGTAGTAGACAACATTACGATAACTGACATTTCACCCTAACGCAATTTTCTCTCTATCTCTATTCGGAGCAACTTTATATTTTGCATCAGTAAGAAAATGTGCGTGATCATTCTCAGGTTGCAACTTAAGGACCAACCAACAAGCTTTTACGGGTACAAATCGCAGTCTGAAAAGAGGATTACATACAAAATTCGATAAGATGCAAGAGCCAAAACACTAGCATGTAGATGCACGTAAGAGCGATAAAAAACAACGACAGAAATATGCCTTTCTAGCAAATTTTGTTTGGTAGAAATGCAATCCGTTGTTTAAGCTAATGATGTTGGCAACAACGCAAGCCAAATATTTAGCGGATGCACTACAATCCACATAAAACATAGATCTGCAAGAGAAAGAATGCGTTATGAGCTCTAGGAGGGATGACTTCGCGTCCACGGTGATAAGTCAGTAAATTGAATTCAGATGATCCGACTGGAAAGGAATTAGATGGAGCCAATTGAATGTTCCCACTGTCCAAATATGTCAGAGGCAGAAACAATTTTACTGGATAGATTCAGTCTTCAGGATTGAGGGCAGAAAGCAAGGTCCCCGTGTAAGCACCATCATCGCTGGGTCGAAGGTCCGATCACAAGTGTTCGTTCCTCCACAGCCCCTTCAGGTGCTCATCCAGACGCCGTTTAAAAGCAGCGTCTGTCTTCTCCTCCACC